GAGCACCGGAGCTCTCATGAGGCAAACTGTACTTCACCTTTTCCTTTGCTTGCCTTTTGTTTGCCTCTAAATGTTTGGGTTTGGTTTCTAGATTTTAAAGCTGCTGCCCACACGTTGGACACCACTGTCTGTCGTGGAGCGTTCTGTGCTGTGTGTTAGAGTGCACTGAGCCACTTACAGGAGAGCAGGTTACGTATTCTGGTTAATCGACTCTTTCAGCTAGCAGCCACATCTATTTGCATGTTCTTCCACAGCGTGGCAGTCACTTCTTATCTTCTTAGAAGCCTGCTTCACTAGTTTTTGCATTTACTGACACAACATGGCTCTTGGAGACACAAACTGTGCTGTGGAAACACACTGTGGCATGAGGATCTATGGAAGAAGGAAGCATGGCAGGATTTCCCTCATTTCCCAGTGAATAGTTCCAGTCATGACGTGGCTCTTCCTGTAGAGAGTAAATTCTTAGATCCAGATCTCATGAACTGTTGAGCTCTGTTGGTACCTCTCTGTTTCCACAAATCTGAGGCTGTGAAGACAGAAGACCTCATTTATTTATCAGTAGGTTCTCAAGATGCAGTGCTCACATCTTGTGTGGTAGATGAACTTGATGTTTCTCTACTCTGCAGTCTTATTTTTAAGATGACAGGGTGTTGGGGATTTGAGGAGTTTGTTTTGGTTTTAAGGCTTATGAGAGAGATGGAGTTGGGTGAGTTACTATCAGCACGTTCTGTCTGGGCTCTTGCTGTTTTGGGTGCTGCTCCTCTACTACACTGTAATAGTCCATGGTCGTTGTCCTTCATGAGATAGTCATATAACCCTTGCTGCCTCTCCTGTTCCTGCGTTGGATACTGGTTAGGGAAAGTATGTGCACATGGAGGGAGTGATCAATGTATTATTTCGTCTTGAGCTACTTTATTTGATCTAAAGTTAATCAAGCAGACTGTTTATTAAAGAGATTGTGACGGATACTCAGTGCATCTGATGACTACTCTTGTGTCATAGTTCAGATAAAATAGATAGTAGGAAGTAGTAGGATCATGATACTAGACGGATGTTTGGGTTGTCAATGTCACTGCTAGTGTTGAGAATATGACTGAAATATTGGCTGGAACTCTTGAGGAAAGTGACATGAAATTTGCCCAGGCCCAACAGTTGAGATCATATTTCATGTGAATGGACACTTATACCAAAACAATGAACCTTAGAAAGCTATTGGGTAACTCTCTTGTTCTGATACAGGTCAAGAATTGTGATTCATAAACATCTCAGTGGGTTTCCTTTTCAAAAACATATGTGCTGGCCTGCAGAAAGCAGCAGCTCAAATCACAAGATCTTTTTTCAAGGGCATGTATATAAACAACTTTGAGGTTGTTTTTCCAATTGTTCCCATGTAAGTATCTTTTCTTATACGAGCTAAATATCGTGTTCTATAAAGGTGCATAAAAAGTTTCAGGGGAAGGTCACATCAAAGGTGCGTTAGTCCCACATTAAAAAACTTTATTTCACCTCATATTGGGAATCACAGAATGATAAACTTCAGCGTCTAATACGAAACCGCGGATCCTGTTTAGCGCCGGTAGGTAGCAGCGGCTGCAGTCTCTTGGCACTAGAGATGCTCAGGAGCAAGTGAGTACAGCGAAGGGGTTGTAGTCTTCCTCCCCCCATCTTGGTTTTACTACTTAAGGATATTTGCATGAGAATAAAATCTGGTTCTTTGGCATTCATCTGCTCCTGCTGTTTATCCTTCGCTTGAGGTTATTGTCTCAGTTTGTGACAACATAATTGGTTTCTGTGGAGAAGATTATGATATTGATGAGACTTATATATGACTTCAGGTGAGGTGCAATCAAAAGAACAGTTCAGAATAGAAGGTACTGTCTGTTTTCGTGCAGTTTTCACTAAGGCTCATTCAGCAGTTTAATTAAGGATGTTATTTATTACTGAATTATATCGCGCAAAGCTGTAGTGTGGACACAGTTATGCCAATATGGGCATGGCTAGGGTCAGTGCTGCTTATTTTGTTTTCTAAACTGATGTGAACCGCGCCAGGCTAGTGAGATACACGCTGCTCACACAGGGTTGCTCACTGTTTGTTGTAATTTAGTGTTCTCCGGTGTAGACAAGCTGAAAGAACTGAGCTGGAAAATGCTCTCTTAATAGTTCTTTCTGTGTATTAAATATTTCTTTGAATGGTTAGCTGCTCTTGTACAAGATGAAATTTTTGGAGAGCAATTATGATCAGAAAAGTTTATTTTATTGTGTTGTTTTCCCCCTACTGATTCCCAATTTGCTATTTTGTATCATATCCCATCCAATGTTTTTAAACGCCAGCTCGGCAAAGTTCACCTAGAATTGGGAAATCGTTCTGAGATCTTCTTGGCATGTGTGTCTTCACTCCTAAGGCAGGCCTCGTAATTAGAGCTCGTTTGTCAGTTGTGTTGCTGTTGTAAGCAGCAGACTGGAACGGTGGCAGGGCTGGCTGAGGAGGGAGGTTTGGTGTGGGTTCCCCTTGGTGACCTGCTAGCCCAGGTAGGCTAACGCAGATATCGGGAGCGCTGGTATGCCTTGGAGGGTAGAAGAGTGGGATGAGCTATGTCATGATTTAATTTGCTGTGAATGACATTTCACTGTGGTGTGGCTGGTGGATTGTCCTTGGGAGATGTCACAAGTTATTTTTTTTTTATCTCCCGTCTGGATTACAGAGCCAAAAGGCCGGAGGGGAGAACAAGCGCGAGCCAGGGTACGCGCAGCCTCGCGTGGAATCAGCACAGGCTAGCGGACACTCGGTCTGCCCACGGGCAGGTGTGGGACCAGGCATCTCCTTCCGGATGTCATCTGCTCTCTTGCCTCTGCTGGAGGCCAACTGTATAATCGAACCACAAACACTGCTGTAATCGTGTCAGTTATCCTTGCTTCGTAGCTTAGAGCTCTCCTTTGTAGGCCTGTTGTGAGACATGCATCCCCCCCCTTCCTCTCTCCTCCAGAAAACGCTGGATTCTGATATCACCTTGTGATTCTGAAAGCCAAGGCCTTAGGCACATGCCTTTCGTGCCTCGGCTTTCATCTGCTGCTGCTCCCGGTTGTGCGCGAACACAATGGGGGAAGCGAGAAACCCGAGGAGACGGGCAGAACGTAACTGATCGCATTCTGGAGAGCCCCATCTTGTTTTGCCAAAAAATGCTTCACTCCTGGCATCGCGGATGAGCAGGATTGGGAGGAGATACCATCACGTACCCGTAATCTGAGCTTGAGTTGGCGAGAGGACAGAAGTACAAACGAGAAGTGGATGCTTAAGGTGTTCGAAATAAGGAAGGGACATAATTCCATGATTCACTTGGCTTTATCAGCAATCGCCTGTAAATACGTGTTTAAAGTTTGACTGTATTTTGTTACTTAAACTCGAGCGACCAGGCTTTGTGTAGACCATGGTGTCACAAGGGCTGGCAGCGGGCGTGAGGCAGCATTGCCTGTTGCTGCCTCTTCTCCTGGGCTACCCAAGCTGTTTGTGTGACCGTGTGGTAATTCAGACCAGGGAACTGAGCTGAAACTAGTTTGGCAAAAATCCTGATGCAAGGACCATTAGATGTGCTTCTTTATGGCTTCTTGGTTGCTCAGCACATGCAAATATTTAATCTCATGTTTAAGTCTGTGTTGTGGGCGTAGGAGCCAGAGGCAAAATCCTAACAACTTGAATGGAATCGGGATTTCCCCTGAAAGCAGGCCCCATAAATCCAACGTGAAACTTCTCAGCACTCAAATTCAGGCCTGTGTGTCTTGACCCTCGGCTGCAAGCTCTGGAGGGCAAAGGCAGCACCTGTGTTGAGATGCGGGACCTACTGTGACCTTTTGGATCCAGAACAGGTCCCCGATTGACCGACGTGTGACATTTCATACGGCAGGGAGGGGGTTTTACTGTAAAACCCCAGTAGTGCGTCAGGATGATCGGAGTAGGGCTGGAAATGGTTCCTCAGGAGCAAGCAAAAAAGGGGGTGCCTGCAGCAGGAGCAGCGTGAGGCCAGATGTAAGCCGAGTCACGTTGTGTCCCACCTTAGCCCATCTCATCCCAGCGCTGGTTCTGCCGCAGCAGAGGTTATCACTTAAAATCCCGAAGTTTGCCTCGGTGCCTTCCTCCTCCCGAGGGATGGAGGTTCCCTCCTCCCGTCCCGAT